CATCCCAAAAACTACCAACACTTAATATTCAAGTCCTTCATTGATGGGGGACATCTGCATTTCTCTTGTTTACATTGGAATTATGTTTCTTCTTCATAGTTCTTGGTGCCATTTAGCACTGCATTGCAGGGCCACACATTCAGACTCAAACCCAGCTGTCACCCCCCACCCCACCACTACCCACCCACCACCACCTCCAGTCAAACAGCAAGGGGCAGGGGACTCAGTAAAATTGATGATCCGAAACGATAAAAATAGCCAACAAGGGAGACACTGCTAGGGTTAAATGTTTATGTCTGCAGTTGTTAACCCAGAGAGTGTTAGAGGAAGAGCAGGCAGGACTTTGGAACATGCAGGGTGCAGATTGAAACAGAACCAAACGTGTGAAAGGCTGAAGAATATTGTTAATGGAATGTGGGAAAGGACGATAACGGAAGTAAAATTTGCTGTGGCGTTTTAAAAGGTCGGACAGAGATTGTCATACATTGTGGGATCGATTTATGCACCTGGTCATCAGGGAAGTGGAATGGAAAGGCTTTTATCTAAGGATGTAAAGTGAGAAACTGCAAATGGTGTACTTTAATGGACTATGCAGTTCTACGCAGTCTTAACATTAGTGAAAAATCATCATAATGCTGAGGTAAAGCTGAGAAATTAGTCTGTGAGTTGGACTGTAACTATGGGTAACGCAGCATCCTGTAAAGCATGTGGATCAGACAGAGCTTTAAAGACCAAAGGGAGTGACAGTGACTCGGACCAGCACTCTGACTACTACAAGGCATCTGACTCTGGATCTAAGGTGGATGATGTCCTGGTAAGAGAAGGAAAAGTCATGGTTCTAACTATTATATCTCCTGATATTATTTAACAATGAGTGGTTTTAATGAGAGTTTCTATTTTCTTGCTGATGGTGCGTTTGTGTGGTAGCTTGTACTGTGTGAGGTTTGACCTATGAACTTTGGCAGGAGTGTGAGCTCACCTCCAGCATGCAGTGAGGAGCTCATGGTCATGAACTCACAAGTTAACACTCAGCAGAGTCTAACTGACCGACACATAAAACAAAGGTTCAACCTTTGTCTATAGTTTTTCATGTCAATTAGTGACATAATTTTTGTCCTCCATTCTCAAGCAAAAAGGAGAATTAGGAAATACCCTCATGTGTGTTTTCAGCATGATAACTTGAAACATAAATGAGCTGCTGACTTTCATTTTAGTGTATGAATGCATCTAGGCATAGAAAAAGTTTCTATTAAAAATTGGGTTGCTACATCAAAATCCAAGATGGCTGCCTTTATAAATGTCCATCAGTCTTGTGAGCAGAATAACTTAAAAAATAAGCAACACATCAACTAACATTTTAGTGTGTGGCTGCATAGGTGCAAGAGAGGTTACGTATTGAAAATTGGGTTGCTATGTCAACATACAAGATGACCACCATAGGTTTTGGAGGCAAAAAAATTCCTAACATGCTCTTAATATTTGTCTGAAGATTAATAGCCTGAAAATAAAAAAAAAACTTGCACAGAAGCACATAATGACGCCAACATTCCGTGGGGTGGGGGGACGCAGGGGCAGTGCAAAAGTTCAGATAAGAGTGGTATAATCACTCAGTTTACATAGTTCCCTCCATAAACACTATCGGGGGTGCCAAAGTCAGCCAAGGACAACATCAAATAGAAGCCAAAGGATCCTGAAATTATGACAGAATGTTTATTCAGCCGGGCCCCTCTCATTAGTCCATAGACTTTTTGTGTGTGTGTGTGTGTGGGGGTGGGGGGGGGGGGGGGGGGGGTAGCATCAAGTTTTACAGAGCTTCCAGGCGAATTAAGATAAGGTGGCCTGTCAAGGCCAGTCAGAGAGCAGAATTCAGATAAACACAATTGTTTTGGTGACAGGCAGAACTTTTCTGATTATGTCTACCTTGAGTCTGCCGGGCCTCTCGGTTCCGAAACGTCCAAATTAAGTGGCCGCACCACTGGTCCGTGCCTGAGAATATTTACCGAGATCTGATCCATCCTGCCAAAGTTCACAAAGCACTGAGTGTGGGTGCTCGAGATACATCACCCATCAGGTAAGGCAGGCAGTCTGACCAGGGCCAAATTTGCTGCCAACGACTTCCTTGTTGTTGAAAGACCAGGAACCAGTCGAATCCAAAAAGCAGGAAACCAGCTATCATAAATCCAATTATATATGCATCCTTAACATCCTCAATTGACAGCAGAGATAGACACATCACCAAGTCCTCCAAGTGTAGTGAACTAAGAAATGTCTGTTGTATTTCAGTTGCAAGTGAAAATCATGGCCGTATGATTTTCTCATTGTAAAGCTCATTAATTAAGCTGTGTTATTGTAATCAATCTGCCAATTATTGTAAATGTGTGATGTGTTTAAATCGTTTTAATAAACGACCCACTGTTGTTGGTGAGTCAGAAATTAAAACACGTTTCCGTCCACATTTAATCATTCAAAACACGATAGTACTCAGTCCAGAAAAATGAAAGAATCCGTTTAAATTATGGATAATATCAGACAGGTATTATTTCATTACATACTGGTGGCCTCGTACAGTTTCATGAAATGGACTGTGCTATTCGTGTAACAATTGAATTTATCATGTTGGCATATCTGATCTTAACTGAAATTAGCTTAAAAGTGCAGATTTCTGTTCGACTGTGAAACGCAGCGTTTTGCAGCTGTGGTGTTCAGAGAAAGTTTTCAGTTGTGGTGTTTTTAGAGCTGAAAGTAACGTCAATGTGTTCATTTAAAAGCTGAAATTTGTACATCTGTTGTGTAACTGAAGCTGGGTTTGTGGTAAAACGCTTTATTCTGTTAAACTGTGGCAGAGAGGGACGGGGGTTCTGACCCTTTTCGGCTGTCGGACTCGGTTCTGATTCGTTCGAACGAGTCGTGTTGTGAATGGATAAACTGCTGTTTTGGAACTGGGCGCTGTCTCAGGCCACTATTAAAATTGCTTCGTTACATCTGTAACAGTAAAATCGTACATTTTGAGAAGTTAATGGACGAAAGTTGACCGGAATGTTCAGGCTAATCGCTAACACGCTAGCTGAAATCACGAGCAGTGATTGGTCGAAAACCGCTGTTTGAAACGCTCTGATTCGCTGGAGAGACAGAGTGACGTGTCTGTCGTCACTTCCTCTGATGTCAGGTTATAAAACCCACCCCCGCTGCTGCTCTGCTCATTGGTTGATTCAGTCACGTGACCCGGAAATGAAGCTCGTCTTCATAGTGAATTTCAATCTGTTGTTTTAAAGTTGAAAAACGCTTTAAAGTTGGCTCTGAACCGCTGATCCAATTATTAAAAGCCTAATCGCTGAAACTTTGCCACGTTCAAGTTTTAAATCCGTCATTAAATGGTGATTTTGGACCTCGCTAGCCAATGCTAGGTCTTAAGCTAACGGCTAAAGACCGGATGTCACCAAAGCCACAGGAAGTCATCGCGACTCCTACTGGACGTCACTAACAGTGTCAGGGTTAAAATATAGTAAGGTTACACTGCCACCTCCTTCCTTTCATTACTAGTTCACTACACAAGTCAATAATATATCCAGCTGCTTGTGTACCAACAGGGCAAGTCGGCTCACCTAAAGCCAGTCTGCTCTTCGAAGAAATGTTATCAATTGCATTGAGGGACCAGCTGACCAAATCCATGGCAGAATTACGATTCAGAAGATTTGTAGAAAAGAGGCTTTAAAGCAGTTTTACAGACAGAGTTAAGCAAAGCGGAGAGGGAGAGGAGGGGAAAGGTACCGCCCTTGACAAGAGTAAGTGTATATACTTAAAAAACTAAGCATCACACCAACTAACATTTTAGTGTGTGGCTGCATCTAGGTTCAAGAAAGGTTACTATTGAAAATTGGGTTGCCAGGTCAACATACAAGATTCATATTTGTGTGTGTGGGGGGGTGTGCGTGTAAACCAACCAAACGTATAATTTGAGCAAACCATGCTGTCTAGTTTTTATATTGCGTAAAAGTATAGTTTCCTCAAATGTGGCTGAAGATTAATCTATTCTATTAGATTACTGTAATTAGATAATCTAATCTATTTTCTGGATACTATAGATTAACCTACCCGTACCTCTCTTCCTGCACGCAATGTAACTTTTACCAACTTGAATATCTTGCACCAAAAACCTTAAGGTTTACTTTCATTCCCTTTTTATATTAATTCCCGAAAAACACTCATCTCAAAAACTACAAACATTCACTATTTAAATCCTTCAACGATGGGAGACATTTATATCTAAAATAAATGTATTCTGAATAGAATAAGAAGGCTGCGCTTTATAGCAGCAGCTTTGTGCCCTCCGTCCATCTTTCAGACGGCTGTACGTACAAATTCTTGTTAATACAGCTTATTCTGATTCTGATTAGTGTAGGGCTTGTCTAATATGTGTTTGTAGGTGTATTTGTCCAAAAATATTGATTACGATTGATTGATGATCGTCGTAAATCATACAGACATTTTATTTAACAATTTAATTATGCATTCGATTCCAGAATGTTTATCAATTCATCATTCTGTTTTTGTTAACTGAACAATTAGTTTATTTTTTTTTCTAAAGAAGACATTAAACTTATATGCGTTGGTTTTCAGGAGCTTCAGAAATTACAAGTGAAAAAAAGTGTTCATGTTTTTCCTGATAAAAGTGTGTCTGTGTGTGTTTGTGTGTGCTCTTAACAGATGCCTCACGATTAAATTTAGAATTGCCAAGTCGGAACATTTTACACTCTGTCTGACACTTCTAAACCACGCACACACAAAATTCTCACATTCTGACACAATGCCAGCCAAAGTAATAGAAAAAAGTAATCTAAATAGACATTAAAATATGTTTTGCAAATAATAAAAGAAGATTGCTGTGAATAGGAAAACTACTTGATCTAGGGCTAACAAAATTCAGATTATTTGATTGGTTCAAAATGCTGTCATTGTTTAAGTTTTAACGTTTTGCCTTATTTCTGTCTTCACCTCTGCAGTCTGACAGCAGCACCAGTTTTCTTCGAGCTGCTCGAGCGGGAAACACTGACAAAGTGCTGGAATTCCTCAAAAATGGAGTTGACATCAGCACCTGTAACCAGGTAAGAAAGCTTCCTACTAGTTCAGGGTAACAAGTGTCGAGAACTACATCCGGTGTGTGAGGTGTAAGTCTGTTGCTGTGTGTGGTGTGCATTGTGTTACTTTTCCTCTTTAAATTAAAATGCTCTAACACATCTTCTACTTTAAGAACTCAAACTTATTAAACACAAGCTGTAAATGACACATAATGCCTCGAATATGAGTGTAAGACACCTGCTCTGGCAATAAATAAATTAATTCCAAATTTCACAACAAACATTTGTTGTTTGAAATAAAAAAGGGATTTTTTTAATATTAGAATAACAAAACAAATTGAACCGTTTTCACATAAAGTTTGACACCAAGATTAGGAATGCAGTTTTAGATGTATTTGTAATTTAACCACATTCCGAGAGATAAATAACAACCTTTGTTCATACGTTGTAAACAAAACACTATATTTTTATATGGAAATTATATGCACACGTTTATACTTATCCTAACATTTAAGAAAAAACTTCTTTATAAAACAAATAATTGAAAGTAAGGAAGAGATACTTGTTTGATTGATTTGATATGCAATACAATACATTACAGTACAATACAACAATACATTACAATACAATAAATGGACTGTACTTATATATAGTGCTTTTCTACTTTATCAAGATATTCAAAGCACTTTACACTACAATCTGTGCCTCATTTACCCATTCATACAGCACTCTACTAGATCTATACAGACTAATCAGTACTTTATCACATTCATACACCGATGGGACACATATCGGAGGCAACGAGGGGTTCAGTGTCTTGCCCAGAAGCACTTCGGCATGTGACTGCTGGTGGAATCGAACCCCCAACTCTTGCATTGGAGGACGACTGCTCTAGCCACTCAGCCACAGCCGCCCCATTGTAATACAACAGTACAATACAGTACAATAGACTGCAATACAATATGGGGCAGCTGTGGCTGAATGGTTACAGCAGTCGTCCTCCAATGCAAGAGTTGGGGGTTCGATTCCACCGGCAGTCACATTATGAAGTGTCCCTGGGCAAGACACAACCCCTCATTGCCTCCGATGTGTGTCCCACCGGTGTATGAATGTGATCTAAAACACTGATTAGCCTTGTATCGATATAGTAGAATGTAATAGTATGAATGGGTAAATGAGGGCACAGATTGTAGTGTAAATTGCTTTCAGTATCTTGATCAGATAGAAAGGCACTATATAAGTACTGTCCATTTACAATACAGTACAGTACAACACAATAAATACAATACTATACAACAAGTAGTTGAAACATTATAAACAGACTTACCTTTTCTAATTAACTACAGTCTTTGCAACAAAGAAGTACAATTTTGAAATGCAGTTTTTGGCTGTTCTTTGAGTGTAATATTATACATAGTTTAAGTCACCATTTATATCAGCTAAAGATCAATCTTGACACCAAAGTTATGCTCCCCAACATTGAAAGTCTTGGACTAACTCTGGTGTATGAAGAATATTTGTTATAAATGCATGCTAACTTTAATCTGTCAGATAAAGCAGAATAAAACCATTTTAGAGTTGTTCCTGTTCCTGGTTAAGCATCTGTATTTGATTATTGGGAGCATTTATATCAAATGGAGCACTGAGATCGAACAGGACAAGTATGGACACCAGTCCACGGTCTGAGGCCATGAGAACATTAGTCATTTTCACCAGTGCTGTTTCTGTGCTAAACTCTCACTGAATGTCCTCAAATGGATTATTTCTGTCCATGTGCACAAAACTCATTTTCAACTTTTGTCTTTAATTTTATGTTCTTGTAAAGTAACTATTTATTTTTATAGGCTTTTTATGAGGTATTTTTCTTAAACTTATGTTTGGTTTATTTAATTTGAATTGTAGACAAGCTGACACTGTTTCAATCCTGGTTTTGGTGTTTAACAGAGGCGAAGCAGCAGAGACATGTGTAAAACTACAATTCGATTTCCTGGCCTGGACCCTGGGTTGTCAATAATTCTGACAACTAACAAAATGGACCAAATTTCTAGAAAGAACAGCAGCTCCATACAAAGAGGGTGCCATGAATGATGGCAGAACTGAACCGCCAGTGAAATGCAGACAGAAAAGCCGAGGAACTCAGGAGTAACTTTAAATAGATTTTAAATTAACAAAATAAAAAGCTAATGAGGCGAGTACTTACAAAACATTGGAATTAACCATAGGAATCACAAGGACAACCAAAACAGACTGAACAGAACAAAGCACCGCTGGGGAAGAACACAAGGTGGTAAGCATACATAGACAATGTCTAAAATAACAAACACATGTGAAGGGATAACAGGGATCAGGTGAAAGTGGGCGGGGCAGGATTAAAATAATCTTAAGGGAAAAACACTGGGGATAACTAATTAACACAAGAGGCTGAAAATGCACAAGCCAAGGATCACAGAAAATAAATAAAACATAACACAATCCTCACAGAGGAATGGGTCTTTCTGCATCGGACCAGGTTTTCCCCTAAATGCACTCCACTTATCTACAGTATGTAGCCCATGTTGTTTTCAGGACACCACCCGGACCGTAAGTGGTTGAATGAGAACATGTCATCGCTGGTCAGATTGGGGAGGGGACCAGAGAAAACTACTAAGTCGTATATAAATTACTATCGTAAGAAAAGCTTGAATAAGATCAAATAGTCCATTTGATGTGTTTAGTAACTGTGTACTTTTTCTCATCAAAACCTGCACTGTTAAAAAGACATCTGCTTCTAAACCTCTTTAGTTCGTTTTATTTCATTAATATATCCAGTTATATCCATATTCCAGTTAATTAAATTAAATTCAGTTTATTTATATAGTGCCAAGTCACAACAGAAGTCATCTCAGGGCACTGAAATCTGTCGGAATCAGTCTCCCCACCATCACAGACATCTACACCTCCAGATGCAGGAAGAGGGCCACCTGCATCATGAAGGACCCTACTCACCCAGCACACACACTTTTTGCCCCACTCCCCTCAGGAAGGAGGTTAAGGAGCATTAAGTGTAGAACCACTAGACTGAGGAACAGCTTCTACCCTGAGGCTGTTAGACTCATGAATCTCTAACTAGAATAATCACTGTGAAAAACCATATCATGTTGCTGCTGATCTGTTTCATGTTGCTGCTGATCTGTTTCAATGTTGATGTGTTCATGCGTGCACATCTGCTCACAGACTCATGTTCATGTTTGTGCTGATGTTCAATGTTTTATGTTATGAGTGCTTAGTGTATATTTAGTTGATGTTTTTCTTAGTTCATATCTTAGATGTTATTACTGTTTTTCTTATACATTTTATTGTTGGATGTAACTGGGACCTTGTGTACATAATTTCGCTCCACCACATGTACCACATGAGGTACGAATGACAGTAAAGAAACTCTGACTCTCTGACTCTGAACAGAAATATAAAAAGTAAGTTAATATTATTTATCTGAGGAACAGACTGCTTTGAATTTAACTCCATCACAGACTCTCATCTTGAACAAGCATGAAGGCGACAGTGGAAAGAAAAAACTCCCTCATGAGGAAGAAACCTTTAGCAGAACCAGGTTTAGGACAATAAGCCATCTGCTTCGACCGGCTGGGTTTGAGCGGAACAGATACACAATGGCAGGTCAAGAATCACATGTTAAGATAGAAATAATATCAAATGAAAACTATTCATTTGTATCAATTCATTTTCAGAAATGAGGTCAGTTTGTCTTCCAGTAATCTAAGCCTATAGCAGCATAACAAGCTGACTAGCTATATGATTTATCAAAAAGAAAAGTCTTAAGTCCAGTCTTAAAACTGGACAATGTGTCAGCCTCATGGACAGAAACTGGAAGTTGGTTCCACGAGAGGAGCCTGATAACTGAAAGATCTTCCTCCCATTCTGCTCTTGGAAACTCTAGGAACTGCAAGTAAACCTGCAGTCTGAGAGCAAAGTGCTCTGTTAGGAAAATATGGAACAATAAGATCTCAAGTATAAGATGGAGCTAGGTTGTTGAGGGTTTTGTAGGTTATAAGTAAGATTTTGAATTAAATTCTGAATTTTACAGGGAGCCAAATATCAATGTTAAAATCTGGTCCTGTTAAAACCACTACAATCTACTACAGAAGCATCTCTACCACACCCCTTCCTCCTTCCAATCCCAGCAGCGTCAGAGGAGTGCATGCCCCCACGGACAGCTGCTCCTGACTCCCCTGCCTACCCTCTTCCACATTCCACTGAGGGGGAGGGTTTGGAGGGGTTGAAATACTTCCTCTTACAGCTCTGTCAACCTCTCTGTCATTTGAGTGACAACAGTCACGAGGTAGCTTAAAGAAGGACGTTGAGTGAGCCTGTGCGCTGTGTGTGGGAGTGCCTGTTGCATGTTCTACTCTCATTGCTGTTGGCCTTTTGGAATACTGCAGTGAATTGTTACCATTTATAACCTGGATGACAATTGGTTGGTAGTCAGGAAGTAGCAGGTGCCCACCCTTAGCCGTAATGTTTGTTGCCATGGGTGACATGGGGTTTTCTTTAGTGTACGAGCATGAAAGGCTGCATAGACACACACAAACACACACATATGCACACATCCTGCAACAGGAGAGCGATGCCCTTTGAGCTATTTCAGTGTCAGATGATCAAATCTGAGACTTTGTCAGGTGACTTAAATGTGACTGACATTTTTATATATACCCCAGTGATGCCTCAACCTAGTGTGTGTGTGTGTTTGTAGAGGGAAAGAAACTATACTATAGATTTACTTTAATTTTATACATAAATTACACATAACATGCATCCAAACAGTCCATTATTGTCCACTGCCCAAGGCAAAAGAATCAGACCTGATCTTAATGCAGTTCCTCCTGAGGTCTTGAAGATCACAGACATCCAGCACTGACTTTCAACGTTGTCCTTTGCACACAGAGGCGTCTCCAGGACATTGGAAACTGTAAATGTGATGTGACATTAAAAGTCTTCTCATTTTTCCATTGAAGAACATTCATCTGAAATTG